CTTATTTAATGTTAAACGTTTAATAAGACACGGCAATTTCCCGCAACGGTAAATTCTAAACCGACAGCCAGTTGGTTAATTTCAACAATTTAGTGTCCATGCCTAAAAAATAAATAGGAAAAAATTATATTTATTAGACCGTAAATGAAATGTTAAAAGCCCAATTTCCACAAATAGCGTTCATTTTATAATAATTGAGATTCTAAAGTTTCACATTTTAAACATTTCAGTGTAAGCCTAATTAATAACGAATGTTTTCTTTGGTCTTGCTAGTTGTATCTATATCTATATCTATACTAATATTATACAGAGGATAGATTTGAATATTTGTAATCATTAGAATGCTACATTATGCCTACTTAATATAGGCTATATTTATTACCAGGAAAAATTGTGTATCTCTACTAAAACTCAGCCCCTTTTTTGTATGTAAATGCATATCTCAACAAGTAGTCAACGGATTTTAATACAGTTTTCACTAGTTGATCAGTTTAGTCAAGGGGGAGGTTTAAATATATCATTTATTTTGGAAAAATTAATTGGGTGGCATTCTAATAATAACTATAATATCTATATATATAAATCATTATAAATCTATATATTATGTTAATATATATAAATTAATGTTCTTTATACATTCCTAAACGGCCGGACCATTTTTTGATGAAATTTTTTGTGAGTGTTTGAGTGAGTCCCTGGATGATTTAGATTCACAATTGTATCCGCTAGGTCCAACCTGGGAAGGTGCTCAAACAGGTATTTTGAGATTTACGATGAAAATGTTTGTTTATAACCGGGGTGGCTGAGTTGCACTTATTGCAGCTAGTTACACTCAAAAGGAGTGGAAAAATCACAATTTTTTCAAGAGTTGACATTTTTTACGGGCAACAAAGTGTGCGGGATCAGCTATGTTATATAAATTAGAAGAAATATGGCATATTAATGTTGTACAAGTATATTTATTAAAAATACAAATCTTTGGTCTGGACAAAGTCGGGCAGGACCGCCAGGACAGCTATAGTATATTATTATATTGTTCACTTGGAGAGGGTGGTTTACACATGTTTTACGAAATATTGTGTGTCGAGACGATAAAGATAAATTCTTGTTTACTTAATATAAAAACGAATAATGTGGTGTGATAATTTAATAATGCCACGTGTGTAATTTTGAGGCCGATTTTTTTTTTGTCAGATTAACGCCATTTTTATTTTTTTTGCTCACACAATAAGGTGGTGGTGGCGCCTTACTATATCAGAGACGGAACAAGGGTCGTCTGTACATTATACTTATAATAATATAAATTACTCCAAAACGACATAATAAAATAAGGAGTGGCAGACTGGCGCGGCTCATAATACTTTAGGTACTCGAAATCGATTGTTGGACTCTGCAATATAAAAGACGTCAGCTTGAGATTTAAAAATCTAAAAAATTAGTTTTTACTTTAAAGTGTATATTTTTTAAGTTTGGTTGTTTGTATAAATAAAGTTTTTCAAGGTATCATAGTATTCTACACTTGCTAGAAGAAGCGTATCCTGTATAGCTAATAATATACCGAATAAAAATTGATTGAAACAATATCTATTATTATTATTATCTATTTAGCATTACTTATAGCATTTTTGTTATCTACGATATCCACTAAACGAAAATATAGTATAAATTGTTGAACTTTACAGGATAACGATACCTACCTATAGATAAAATAAAAAATTATAATAATTCAAAAATGTTGACTTTATTATAATCGATGGTATTAAAATATCTATGGAAAAAAATCGTAGAAACCCACAGGTGTTACCATTGTATGCTACAATTGTAGGTAAATCATAAAAATTTGAGTTCAGCAGAATCAATTTTATGTTCATACAATAAGTTTTAATATTAAAGTGAATTGACCAGTTATCAGGTACCTAAGAACATTATCTTTGTCTGTGACCTGTGTAGTGTGTACATTGGTTTTTTTACGATTTTAAGCATTTTTAAATTGTAATATTTTAAATTTTTACATACTTATGAGGCATAACTTGCATGAACATTAAAATAACATAAACAACCACGACATACAAGCACATATAATAGTGTCATTACCTAGTGAGTTTGATTGTCGATCAATTCACTCTATAATATTAATGCTAACAAGTAACAACACAAAATCGGTTCTTTTGAAAGCAAACTTGATACCTAAGTATGTTGTACGTTTGTAACATGGTGAGACATCCTCTTAAAAATAAATTCTCAAGTTATTGTCGAATATTGTTTTTCTTGCCGTCGAACTTCGAACTATATAATAATATTATTATTCAGATTCGTCTGCTGTTACACGTTCGGACTACGCACATCTCGGCGCGGCATCGGTGGCGGGCGCAAACGAGAGACGTATGTGGCGGCACATCTCATCACACACACACACCACCCATACACACGCCACATATACACACACACGTGCACACGGACACGCATATGTGTGAGGGAATGCGGTCGGGGCCCGGGCCGACAACGATAGGAGTTAGTGCGCGTACATATACGACGACGCACGGCACACAAGGTAGATGACCTTGGGATACGACCTCCATCGGGCCAGGTGAATGTTTGTATAATAATATTATTATATTATCGGATGTGTGTACGGATAATAATAATAATATGTATCCAACCTCAGTGACGATGACGACGTTTTTCGGGTAAACGATGATGGCGGCGACGACCGAACAGCCGATGGGGTAGATGGTGTAGCGAGATGTAGATGGAGAGATTGAGATTAATTGTGAGAGAGTGAGATGGACGATCGAGCCGCACCGTCGATCGGCGGCCCTGCGGATTCGATACAATTATTATATTATTGGCGAACGATCGACGGACGCGCATTCCTCGACAACCCACGCAGTGTTCACCCTAACTTGTTATACAATTCATGCGTATATAACACGATGGTTACGAGTTACATTTTATTATTACCAATAGGGGTATTTTTTATTATTCGATAGTGAACGCTTTTCAGAGTGCACGGGGAGATCTATAAAATATAGCTTATGTAATGTATCGTTATATGTGCTGTTCGCACAATACAGGGATCTATATACATCAGAGATTTAAAACATAATATTATATTATACGCGTTTCAAATCGATTAGCCTCCCCGTCGCCGTCGATGACCACAATATAATAATACCTATATAATCGATTGCTGCACGGATGTCCGCAATACAATACGATTATATTATGTTACATATTGCATTATACCTATATGCATTTCTATACTCTACTCCGAATACGGGCACCTCGCACCTCTACACAGATTATGTATTTCGTCAATATGTTATTATTATTAATAATAATTAGGAATATTGTCCTAAATTATGATCTCGACGGCCGTGATTACAGAATAATGCACTTAAAATAGACACACCGACTGTATTGTATGAAATTTGAACTACGCCATTTTTGTTTTTTATTTCCTGTATGGGTGGCTTTATATTCATATATTATTATACACTATATACCTATATTATGAGATCGGATGTCATATTGACGTACCGACGTTATTCAGACTGCAACAAGGCCAACTGCATTAACCAGTAACCACGATTGATTAATTTTTAACATATAATATATACGCATTTTAAACCACAACATTTTAACTATACCTACAACTTACTGTAATGACTATTTATGTAAGTACCTATGTGTATACTTTTTTCGCTAATATTGTAATATTTTTTTTTTGTTCATTACGTCTGTGTCGGACAAGAATGGACGTGATACCGGTATGTGTTGTCTCCGTCTTACAAGTGCATAACATGGCAAATTTTACGCTCAGCAAAACATATGTAGCTCCGTTAATTTAAAAATTAGAGTAAATTTACCTCTTATAAAATCTAAAGCTAGGATTATTATCTAGACAACCTCTTAAGCTTTTTATTATATTTTGATTTTTAAGCGAGTTATGAGTACTTTAAAATGTACAAACGATTTACAATTTTAAAATACTTATAACACGCTTTAAAATTAAAATATAATAAAAAGCCCACGATTTTGTCTAGATACGAATCATACCTTTTGATTTTATAAGAGGTCGATTCACTCTAATTTTTAAACTAACGGAGCTTACACGTTTTCTGCTTTGCGTAGAATTTACTATGTTACGCACTTGTAAGACGGAGACAACACATGAGGGTATCACACTATCACGTCCTCTTAATTAGTGTTAAGATAATACAAATGCAATACAATTTCTAGAATTTAATTATTTTTTGTTCTATGGAATTAATATTCAATTACTTTTGAATAAGTAAACAGTATAGGCGCTATATGATAGTCGTGTACAAACAAGTTATTAGAAAAATGTAAAGGAAATAATATAAAACTCTATTATAATAGACTATAGTAATTACTAATTAAACAATGACTAACCACCATATATATAATATAATATACTTTAATTTAATAGCAATTAGTATTGAATACATGAAAAAACTATGTTAAGTGCCATTGGACTACAATCTTGTAAGACATCAGACGTGTGAAATACATTTATTTTATAGTATACCTAATTAATTTCATTGTGATATTATTAAGGTTTTGAAAAGGAAAATAATTTCTGTATGATTTTAAGATTGATTTACTGGAAATATTTATTATTCAGCTTCTATATTATGTTTGAAAGGTGTGTAAATATGTAAATATGAATAAAAATAATTTTTTATTTAGGGTTTTTGGATTGAATATATTTTGAATATATAAATGATCAGATTTTTGTACATCCAAGGAGTGAACAAAATCTCGTAAAGTTGGACCATATACACCTATAGATGCTTGGATCGTGGGTACTTTTTGTTGCAAGGCTTAAAACACGAACGACAGTGTGTCTATAAATACGCTACACATAATATATATATTATATATAATATGTATATAAAGCCCCGGACAATGCCAACAATTTCTCCAGCTGTCGCAGACCATATGGAAACCATTATAAATAAAAACTTGCAATGAGCTCACACGTTTTGTGGCCTATATGAGATACGTTTAAGTATAGAAACACTCACGTGTTCGTCCAGCGAATAAATCAGTTCTCCGTCGTCGAACAGCACAAACCACCTTCTCTGCCATCTCTAAAAAAAAACAAGATATAATTATGTGATTACTATTCTCGAGTCTGGCCCCAACTTATTTGTTAATGTTTTAAAATTTTCAAAAAAAAAAATGTATTTATAGTTAAAATAAATATTAAACTAAAGATATCATTTAAGTCAAATTATAGTTTTAAATTTTAATATCAGACGTTCATGATTATAAAAATATTTAAATTAATCTATTGGAACTCGATCAAGGTTGAAAATATACTAGTATAAGATCTAACTATCTAAGGGTACCTACAATACTAGAACGTTTGAATCAATATCTGCATGTGCAGTTATGCACATAGAAAATTAATAGATTGGAGATAATGGTGTCATATTCAGTCCTGAGGGAACGTATAGCCATGCAGGTGCCTATCTAAATACCGTTAGGCTAGGTAAACGCTGAAAAGAAACACCAAATCATTCAATACTCTTATAACAATACACTGCGGTGATGGACGAGCCTCATGCAAAGCGAAGGCAATGCGAAAACTGTATATTATATACTCAGGAGTCTGGAAAGGAACGGCAGGTCAAATATCGCTGGATCTCAATCAAGCTTATTGAATATTATTATTTATTATTTTTTCTTTTTTCTGCAGACCTGTCACAGTTATTGGTAACAATAATATTATAATATCGTCAGTTCGGTGGAGATGGGTATCCTCCTATGGGTATTATATCTAGATCACTTTGTTCTCCCAAATAATGTGTAGGTACTTAATCAAAAATACCATACAGACCGAATTCAACAGTACATGTATAATATTATATAAATTTAAATTTGATTTTGAAACAAGTTTTCTATAGAACATTTTCTTTGGCAGTGCATATTTTTCCAAATAGGTACCAGCTAGGTTAAATTTATAAAAACTAATAATAACAATAATATTAATAATTACCACACGTCTATACCGCACTCTCAAATCTCAATGTTCACACGTTTTTATTTTTAGAGATAACCAAAAGCACCGGACGCGTCCGGACGTTATAATTTACATTTTCTGTGTGAACAAACGACGCCGAAAACGCACGGTGTTATTTTTCATACATAATATTATAGCGTTTATTATATACATATTTTTTGTATTTATTACAGCTCATGTATAAAACTCTATGGGAAAACATTTGCGTGCCTAATAATGAGATTTTATATACATCCTATATTTTGCACTGTTCTATAATTATGATTTGGCAACACGTGGGTAAAACTGAGACTCTGATTTCACTGTATTATAAAATGAGGATAATTGCGTGTACTTAAGGAGCGGAACGCCAGAGTGCTAAATACCTTTACCGCTTTATATATGTTATTGTGGCACAGTAAAAGGACTAGTTATCTTATTGTGGTCAAATAAAACGATGATGTTTAAGAAATAAAGTTGATTGATGTATATAGGTACTATTATTATTCGTATGAGCAGCAGCATGCTATCAATGTTGAAAATATCAAGTGTTCTGAGGTTCTGATGAGGACCGTAGACGTGACCGAAGTTACGGAAATGAAACATCGAGCCACCGTGTTACAGTGAAAATAAATAACATAAGTAACTAATTTGTCATTACCATGTCGTTCTGTAAATGTATAATACAATAACGAAAGACTTATAAACACACTAAAGTTTGCAAAAAAGTAATTAAAAAAAAATATTTAAGATAAAACTCTGTACCTACTTATAGGTATATAATAAATTAACAAAATATAATATTATATCATACATTTTTATAAGCAAATAGGTTAGGTTAGGTTAGGTTAGGACCATTCCGGATGATTCTCACCTTTAAATAAAATATATTTAACTTATAAATGTCCAATGGAATCATATGTTACAATATAGATCTATTGATACTCGAGTATCTATTTACTATAGATTACTAGCTGATCCCGTGCACTTCATTTCCCATTAAAAATACCAAAGCTATATGAATAATATGTTTTTTTTTTAATATAACGGTTACTATAACAACAATTTTAAGCCAATGGCAACCAATAATTATTATTATTATAGCTTTGAAATCCACGGCAACCATTTATAAACAAAAACGTCCATTGGAAATCTCAAAATCCCTGTTTGAGCACCTCCCGTTGTTATTCAACTCTAATTAGGTCGAATAGCAACAGAATTTGGAGTTTTTTAAAAAGAAAAATAGTTCAAATTACATAATTATATCCTTTATATAATCGTATTTATTTAAAAAACAATCTGGCTTGCATGTTTAAATTCACCCGAAATTCAAAATGTTTAAATTAAAAAAATATATATATAAATAAGCAATCGATTAAATAGAATTGATACTTTCGTTAATTCATTTTTGACCTTTTTGTTTTTTAGAGTTATCGCACATCTTTCATGACAACCATGATAACAAAGTTGATAGTACATTTTTGGAGTTAAAATAATTTTTGTTCTTATCAATTTTCTTATCAACAATCATCCTTGGAATAAGTTATAAATGAATTTGATTCTTTACTACATAATCAATTATTACATCTACAACTAATAAATATAATTATTACACTTAGATTGTAGTTGTTGGTCAATGAATCTTATTTCTAAATTTTGTTTCTATTCACCCACAATCACGTTATAATACTCAATACTCATATCATGTACGTGTATACAAATATTATAAAAGAAATATTCTTGCAAAAATATATTATAAGTTTAAAGCAACTTTCTGCCGTACGGCTGAACAATCAACACATGTTTTTGTTACGCTCTTGCGCTATTACGTATAAAGTTAACTTAAAACCAGTAAACAATTTTTCGATTGATACGCCCGCATTCGTGAGATTACGCCGGAAGTGATTCTGTGAGTATTACAGCCCGTTAGGGCCCCCCGGGTTCTTAAACCCCTATAAACACCGCTTCTTAATTAGTCCCACTAATTACCACCGCGATGAACAACAAATCACCATTGCCAAAAAAAAGAGATAAACAAAAGCCATTAGTGCCACCGATAACAATAATCAACCAAAACTCCATACAATCGAAAGCTGGGCCACCTTCAGTTACCCCCACTGCCAACGTTGAAGATAATATTTTCGACTGGTCTACACCCTGGTCAACAAAGACAGATAAGAGAAAAAATAAACAAAATTCTCCAACGGGTACCTCTCCGAAACTTAAACACTCAAACTCTACGTATACTTCTAAAAACAGATTCTCTCCACTTGCTCATGATAATGTCGACGACGACGATGAGATGGAAACCGATACCACAACAAATTTATCGCAGACAAAACTCCCATTACCACCACCTATATTTATTAAAACCGATATAGTGCAGTTTAATCTCTTCTGCGAATCCATTAAACAGTTGACTCAACCTGATGGTTTTCTATGCAAATCTTCCGTAAACGGTTTAAAATTAAATACATATACAACTGATTCATATCGCAAAACTGTAAAATTCTTAAAAGAAAAAAAAGTTAACTTCCACACATATCAACTCAAAGATGAAAAATCATACAGAGTGGTAATCAGACACCTCCATCATTCTACGCCTGTCGACACTATAAAAGAGGAATTAAACTCCAAAGGATTTACTGTCAGAAATATCGTCAACGTCTTGCATAATCAAACAAAAAAACCCCTCCCACTCTTTTTCGTGGACTTGGAGCCTTCACCATCAAACAAAGATATTTTTGCAATAGACACACTCTATTATACAAAAATAAAAATTGAGGAGCCCCGTCCCAGACGCAACCTAATTCAATGCACGCGATGCCAGTCCTATGGTCATACTCAAGCATACTGCAATCACCAACCTAGATGTGTGAAATGTGGCAACAACCACTTATCAAGTGAATGCAAGAAAGATAAGGACTCTCCTGCAAGCTGTGCTTTATGTACTCAGCCACACCCAGCCAATTATAGAGGGTGCCAAGTACATAAGGACCTCCAAAAATTCAACCGAAACTCCGCACCAAAATCCACCTTCCGGGGTCAAAACTCCAAACCAAATTTCTTCTCAACACTAAGCTCTTCAAAAGATTCATCACAGCAGGTCGTGCCAAACCAGATCAACAGCAACGAAAAACCATCATACGCCCATACAACTTCCAAAAGAATCACCGCCTCGAACCCGGACAATCATGATCCAACAGTCTCACAAGCTCCAACCCTAACATCCTTTCTCGAAGAATTTAAATCACTAATAACCCCCCTCATTTCTCTCCTTACATCACTAATTACTAAATTGTTCAGTCATAATGATAAATAATCCAACAAATATTATTCTCTGGAATGCAAATGGCTTATCCCAACATAAACACGAACTACATAATTTTTTGATTCAAAATAATATCCAAGTAGCTTGTATCACTGAAACTCACTTAACAAAAACACTAAAATTAAAACTACCTGGTTATTCAATATACCGTGCAGACCACCCTGACGGTACGGCTCATGCAGGCTCTGCCATAATCATTGCCACTAACTTGGCTCACAACCTACACTCAATCAATCCACAAACCAACCTCCAGTCAGTTTCTATCCAAATTTTCCTAAACCATGTTCCGCTAACCCTTGCTTCAGTCTACTGTTCTCCCAGCCAAAAAATCACCATTCAAGATTTTGCTCAACTTTTCACCTCACTAGGGAATAACTTCATTGCAGGTGGTGACTTTAACTCCAAACACCCATTATGGGGTTGTCGCTCCACCTCTCCAAGAGGTAAAATCCTTCATAAAACAATTACCGATCATAAATGGTCTCACATCGCACCAACTGGACCGACATACTGGCCCACCCACGTCAATAGGCATCCAGATATTTTAGATTTCTTCATATATTCCACCCCAAGTAACCTACCCTTAGCTATACTTAACATCACGGATCTCTCCTCTGATCATACCCCAGTAAAGTTAGTCATTGATGGCGAAACAAATCAAATCCCAATAAGACCTTCCCTAACCTCAGGCCCAATTAACTGGACCCACTACATACAGTACTTAAGCAAAAATACTAAATTAGGCATACCTCTTA